TGCTTTATTCAACTTAGTTTTCAGTAGCTTTCGGCATTAAGCTGACTATGTTTGGCAGGAAAGTGCACTGTGAAACTGGACTAAACTCAGAATTTAGTCTTTCAACGTTTACAGTTTCCTTTCTGTGTTTACGGCTACTGCCACACAATCGGTTGATAGACCTCCACATGCCACGACAACTAGAGTTTCCCAGGATAGTGTCGATGTTCAGTTTGTTCAACCGATTTATTTCAGCTTTGAGTGAAATTGTTAGCCGCTTGACATGGAATTTTTGTCCTTGTTTGTAGGCTTGTTCTTTCCGCCTGCGTAACTGCTTGAGTAGCGGTTATGAGTATCTGTCTTTATGGATACAGATCGTTTCTAGTGGACAGCACTGGTTAAAACAGAAATTAACGTATTCCGTAACATGTTCATAGAGGAAATAAGGGTTCTGATCGGGAAACACCGAAAAATCAGTGGCGGCAATCATGGATCTTAGCCTTTCTAGGTTCTCTAATGAACAGTTTCTTTGGCTCACTATCTTGTGAGGCCTCCTTAAAAATGTGTATCGGTTGGTTTTGCTGTATACAGTGGGACATACCTTTAAGATACGATGGTCTGAACTGCTCAGGGGAGCGCGTTTCTGGACTTTAAAAAATTGTGGTCTGTTTGTGAAAACGAAATCAAGCTGTGAATTCAGTCTGGTAGGAAAAAGTACTAAATTTTGTAGACCCAGTGTGGTGAGGAATGTTACATCATGTCTGTTGAAGTCACCAAAAAATATACACAAATAGTCACTTGTTTTGGATATTATGGATGTAGAAAAAATGTCAGAAAAGCTATTTATGTCAGCCACTGATATTGATGGTGACAGATAAAAGTTTCCAAGAAGGATGGAATGGAACGCACTCGAAAAACGGGGCTTACATTCGATGATGTGACAAGTGATTTTATCCGTTGCGTATTCAAAAGTGACAGTGGTTGATTTACTCCAGTTGTCGCTAACGTAACTTACAACACCTCCGCTTCGTTTACGGACGCTCAAGGGACGGTCAACCCGATACAAGTTATATCCACCCACTTGTACAATTTCACTATGGATTTCTTCATGTAGCCACGATTCTTGAGGCATAATAANGCATAATAATTCCTAGGTTTTTGTACTCCTTTTTCCGTGTGATGTCTACCACCTCCTTGACTTTTCTCAGCAGAGAACGAACATTACTTGTTAAAATGAGAGAAATTTGCATTCGATTGGTGCTGCAATGTCTGAAAGTGACCAGGCAACCTGCTCGATGTTTTCGCCATCTGCCGTTTTGTGTTTTAATCATCCACTTCAAATTATTTCTCACGTTGTTGGAATATTTCACAAAAGGCGCAGTTAGCGCGATAACACAACGATTTCATGAACGTGCTCGTGTAGGATGGAATTTGGTGTCCTTGAAATTGATAACAATGCGATTTGATGACAATAAATCCACAAAAGGGTGAATATGAATTTCCAGATAAATGGCGCGGCCGAATTCAAAGGCCCCGTCATGCGTCCACCGAGTGAGATGTAGCTGCCTAACTAACAAAAATTCTCCACCTGCTTTATTAATTCCTCAGTAAGTGCGGCTGGGTGCTGGACAAACCCAGTCCTGTACTAACAGTTTACACTTCGAAGGTGCAAAACGCATACCGAACATGGCTAAGCTAGCACTCAAGCCTTTCAGGGAAGGATGTAAACTGCCTGGACTGTCAACCACTGAACCAGTGCACAGTTCACTGAGCCGAAACTCGAAGACCTTGCCTGACAGGCCCCTAGAAGCTCCCACATGCGTTTTTCGGTCATGCTTCCATGTTTGATCTGTTTGATCCCATTGCCTATTTGATCAGACTTTTGAGTTAAAGGCTCAAAATGGGTTACCGAAGAAAAAAACCTTCGTCCTTGTGGGCTACCGTGACCTCCTTTATGCCCTCAGGCAACCAATTGAGCAATCTTCTGCCTNGGGATATCACTTGGCGTTCAGCTAGTAAGGACAGCTAACCGGAAACTTTTAGATTTCTGAAGCCAAATACTCCTTTTCACCTAAAAGCATCTAATGCCCGCACACTCCATCAGGATGACCAATACGCTACTCTGGCTAGAATTCTGGGAATTTCAAATCAGATAAATGTCCCCTTCACAGAAACGATAGACTACAGTACTGATCGATTGTGATGCCTTAAAATATTTTCTTTATGATTAAATTAAGTTTCCTCATATTTATCACCTGTATTAATGCTCTAGGCATGGACAATAATTTATATCTTGTCTACTTCGATGTACGTAGTTTCTGGGCTGCATGATTGTCAATTAAACGTGCCTGACCTTGAGTGCCAAGATTGAGTGATCTGAACATGAAAACCACAAAGCATGACAGCGCAATATTTTCTAATAGGAATAAATCAAGAATTATCCCAAATTATATCCATAAATCCTTACCATCTCGATTATTTTTTATTCAGCATTATTTTATCTAACATATAATCCATTATAGTAACTCTACATTCTGAACCATTACACCTGCTGAGTATAAACGAATAGGAAAAATCACGTCTATAAAGACTCACCAAGGCTTGTTTATTATTATTTAGAAAAAAACTTAACTTCATTATGAATGCTGTTGTCTATACGAACGGACAAGTGTTTCACAGGGAACCGTTGCTTCAGTTTCGATGAGACCTGCACATTCGCACTTCCTCTCCAATAACGCTACCCAAGTAGGCATACCAGTCCATGTCAGTGAATAACTTCTTACGTTTTGCACCGCAAACGCACAATCCCAGTTCGATGGTACCATTTGTAAGCAGGAGAATGGCATGGCAATAGGGTCTCCGCTTCGTTCACTAGTCGCAGATATATTCATGGTCATGACTGAGAGTAGTCGCTTAAGACCTATCATCACACGGATGAATGCGTGTATGTCGATGATGTATGTATTCTGTTTGGTATCGTCAAACATTGATGTGCATGAGATCCCGCGAATGTAGGATGAATCTCATCCGAACCTCCACCCCACCGTGGATGCTGATTCACTCCTGTTTGTGGATGTGCTTCTACAAAGAAAATTTGACGGGGGAATCGAGAGAGAGAGGTGTATATCACAAGCCTACAAGGAACGGGCAGTACAATCATGTTCAGAGCTTCGTATCAATGTTACGGAAACGCGATTTGGTGCGTTCCCTGATTCATAAAGCCAGACAAATTCGATCCGCCAACAAGCTTCCAGATGAACGGTTTCGGATAGGCAGCAATTTAAGGGAAAACGGCTCTCGAGAAATTTTAATCGAAAAGCACACTGCGATCGATTCTCAGCTTCGTCATTCTACTATGCCTAAAGAAAGCGTTTACGCAACAACTGATTTCAACGAAGATATGCTGATCAAAAATCTAGTTGTGTCCGACGTCATCGTGGAAGATATATCTCCGCGTTTTGTGTAGTCCCTCCTGTGGATTTACCGTGAAATAATGTGCAGTAAGGACACGAGGAAAGACTCTCCGTGCCCAAAGTGCAAGAAGACCGTCGGCTCTAGTGCGAAAGCCCTGTTATGTGATTTTTGTCAATGTTGGTATCTTGTTGCATGTACTAGCATACCGTAAGACATGCACACAGCCCACCAGTTGTGTGATTCTCTAAGTGTGATGTTTGTGTGTGACAAATGTCTCCCTACCTTCCGCACACCGAGTTTCGGCGAAGGAGTGCAGCCCCTGCCGACCTCAAGTGGATCGGTGGATTGTTCGACGCAGTCTTCATTATCCGATGCGCCGCCAACTGCCAGCACCGATGAACAGAGGAACGACGGAGACACAGGCGTGCAACCATTAATGAGCGACCGATCTCCGGTGATAGCAGCGAGAGCGATTAAGCCTGGATCCCCATTGCCCACTGCTCCCGAACTGATTCAGTTACCGCCGGCGCCACCAGCTTCGTCGTTCAACATCAGATCGTATGCCCGGATTTCTGCTGCTAAACACGTTCCCAACAGTGCTG